GTTCTGAGTTGGGTGGCATCTGGAGTACTAGACATTAGCTTTTGGAGTGGCATCCAGGGGCCACATGTGGCTGGAGGACTACTCAATGTTCATCGCTCATCTAAATGCTAATCCAACAGGAGGTTACCAGTGCACTGATAATCACAGCCAAACTACCTCTGTCCAGGAAAGTTTAGTAAGCCAAGTAAAAATTTGCAGATCCCCTAGAGACAACAAAGCATTTAAAGCAGCTTTTAATGCTACCCACTTGAACCTGTGAACTCACCTTATGTTGTAGTTATTCTGAATACAAGATCATCCACTGACTTATTTATGAGGTGCCTTGAATAAAACAAGTTCCAGTTTCCCTACACTGGACAGCAGGTTAACTGCTGCAATTGATGGCATGTGAGGGCTGCTTCCACATCATTTTCAGCCATCACCTAAAACTGTGGGCCCAGAAAAGCCCACCTGAAAACACAACTGCCTCATTTATTTTAACCATAAAGCACCTACAAGACAGGATAAATTCACTGTGGCACAATCTTCTTTGGGCCATGCACTGATGAATTGGGCTCCAGAATACTAATCTGTTAATTGTTTCAGGTGGCATGAGACATGCTAATGCATTTGCTGCTATAGATTTAACACAGCTGTCCCTCTGGCATTCATCTCCCTCAAGCCCTCTCAATGCATTTTATAAAACGTTATGTGCTTATGTCCACTAGCACTTGCCTTCCTTTGCTCATAATTGTTCCACAGTGATTCCTGCATGCATACATACTCTTAATCCCACAACATGTGGGCTGTACTACACCGTTTGCATGCAGGCTTCTGCTTCACCTAGTTTTTAAAAACTGTTCATAATGACTACTCTTTTGACCATTATAATGCAAACAATGAAACTCACTGGGTGACCTGGGGCAAGTCACACTCTCTCTGCCCCAGAGGAAGGCCATGGCAAACCCCCTCTGCAGAAAACTGCCAAGAAAACCCCATGATAGGGTCGCCATAAGTCAGAAATGACTTGGAAGGCAATGCAATGCAACCAAATTAGTTTGGAAAACTTTCCAAGCTCTGCACGCAACAAGAGGTTGGGAACGAAATATACTAGCCAAAAGGATAGAGGGATAAAACCAGGTAAGAAAAATGGGAAGAAGTAGCAGATGAGCAAAGCAGACTGGTTCACTCAGACCACTAAAAAACACTGAGATTAACACTAATTAGCTTCACACCTAGCTAGCTAGCTTCCTCTCATTTATGCACTACATTTTAACACCACCAACACATCTCTCAACACACAAAGGGCAGGCATTGTCAAGGCAAGGCATGTGATGCAGTGTGATCATAACTTAACTTATTAATTAGAGCAGTAGATCAGATGAAAAAGAATTGGTGCAAACACATCCAAACCTTTGCGGCTCTTGGTCCTTAAGATTGTTCCTTCCTGCTCCTATATAACAAGCTGCATTCACTAGATATTTTCTTCTGGGATTTAGACTCTGGCCTAAATCAGACTGATAATCCCAATTTAACACATTCCCACTGATTCACTGGGTCTACTCTAGTTCAGACTAACTGATTCAGAGCTCTGCCTTTTGCCCTCCGGATATTATATGGGCAATAGGCAACACCCAAGATTTTGTAACCCATTTTAAGCAAATGTGCTTAACAAAATGACATCACTCCTGTTTTAAAGTACACACATTAAAACATTAAATACAAGTATAATCGCATTTGAACAGCAACTTTCTTGTATCATGGCCTGAGATATAGGAAGCTGTCCATCCAACTCAGTATTGAGCATTGACTGGCAGCAGTTCTCCAGGCTGTCAGAGAGGTCTTTCCCATAAGCCACTATTTGATCATTTTGAATGGAGATACTAGGAATTATTAAATGGGGGATTTTATACATGAAGAGTATGCACTGAGCGATGTTTACACACACACACACAAGCATACAGCTGTTTTCCTCATGCTGGAGACCAGGTCTGCAAGAAACTATTTTGCAACTATTTTTCAGTGCAGTCTTCTCATTAATTCTTAATGTTCTCTTATGGAGTAATTCCAAGTAATCACAACTGAAAGCAACACCTTGCCCTCCTTAACCCAGAAGACTACAGTGTGCTCAGAGAACTTCACTGCTACATCCCTTTCTTCACACACCTATCATCCTTGATGTTTTCATTCTATCACACACCATTTTAAACAACGATAGTGAGCATTTAAAGCATGTTGAAAGAGTAAGCATTCTTTGGAATTCTCCTTTCGCAGCTGCCTACAATGAAAGTCCTTTTTACTGATGTGCAAAAATGGGAAACTATCAGTCCTATATAACAGTGGATAGCAGCAAGAATGAAAGGTGGCATACATCATAGAATCTTAGTGTTGGAAGGGACCACAAGGGCCATCCATTCCAACCCTCTGCCATGCAGGAACACACAATCAAAGCACCACACACACATGACCATCCAGCCTGTTTAAAAACCTTCAAAGGCAAAGACTCCACCACACTGTAAAACAGCGTATCCCACTGTCAAAACAGCTCTTAACATGAAGAAGTTCTTCCTAATGCTTAGATGGAATTTCTTTCTAGAAGAAGATTCTCCATATGTTGGCATAAAGTTCCTCAGCCAGCAATGTGTGCGCGCGCATGTGTGCGTGCCTTCAGTCACCTGTTGACTTATGATGACACCATGGACTTCACAGGGTTTTCTTAGGCAAGGAATGGTCAGAGGTAGTTTCGCCAGTTCCTTCCTCTGAAATATAGACTACTGGTATTCCCTGGCTGTCTCCCATCCAAGTACTAACCAGGGCTGACCCTGCTTAAGCTTCCAAGATCAGCTGGGATCATATACATCTAGAAACACATGGGACAGTGCTAGCTCTGTGACTGGCAGGAACACATGTAAAACCATACTAGACATTACAGTAGCTTCTCCAGAACAACACTTTCTAGACCACAGTTCCCATTACTGCCAGAGATAATATGTCATGAGATCTGTAGTCCTGCACATCTGGTTAGGGGAGGCTGCATTACAGTTTGGGCACAGAGCTTATTGTGATCAGCCTTGCACAGAGAAAAGCTAACACAGTGTCTGACTATGTGAATTATCTAGCAAGATGAAGCAAAAGCAGGACCAGCCCAAGAACCTTTCTTGCCTGAAGCAGAACAGCAACACATGCTCCATACATATCAAAGTGTATAGTACTCAAGCCTTGCCATGTTATTTTGGCACCTGAGGAAGAAAATCCCATCAACCTGCCCAAGACAGAAAAAATGCTGTAATGATAAATTAAATAACTAACAATTTGCTCCCCTAGCACAACAGCTCAGATCTGCTTGCTTCGTTCCCCCTAAGATTAGGGCTAGCCCTATGTAAAAACCACTACACTAAAGCACACAGAAACGTTAGTGGTTCTGGGGTTACAGAATTAAGACACCACATCATCATCATCATCATTATTCTTATTATTGCTGCTGCTGTTGTTGTTGTATGCCTTCAAGTCATTTCCGACCTATGACGACCTTAAGGCAAGCCTAACACGGAGTTTTCTTTGCAAGTTTCTTCAGGGGAGGGTTGCCATTGCCATCCTCTGAGGCTTAGAGGATAACTTGTCTAAGGTTACCCATTGGGGTTCATGGCTCAGTGGGGATTCAAACCTGGTCTCCATCACTCAGTGGGTTCCCTAGCTCAGCAGGGATTCGAACTCTGGTCTTCAGAGTCATAGTCCAATACTCAAACCACTACGCCACACTGGCTCTTGACACCACATTGACCAACTCATTAGTTTAACTGAGGGCTAATTTAGACAACTCCTACATAGAAGCTACTGGAAAGGACTTACCAACATAGGCTGTGTTCGCAAAGACCATTCTTCCCCCATCCTCACAGCAATCAGTCTGAGCCCAATCCCTGGTTCTGATGCAAATTTCCAGACAACATACAGCATCAAACCCACAGTATATCACCCTTAAAACAGATTTTGTCACCTGTTGCTCCAGATATTCTAAGAATCTTCTTTTACAAAGTGTCCCGCTGTGCTACTTGCAGCCACCGTCGGTTGTTGAGTTGCTCCCTCCGAGATTAAGAGCAAGGTGCCCAGCCATATGATCGATGCTGGACACCTTGTTTTTGGCCTCAGAGGGAACGATCTGCAGTGGCGGCGGACATCACAGTGGGATGTTCATGAAAACAGCAGTCTGGCATTGCTCCAGACTGTGTCAGGGCAACATCTCAGCCACAAAACTTCAGGATGCTCCCAAAGTATTCTGGCTAACTCAGACATGGCCCTTGACATGGCATTAAGTAACCTGAACTTTGAAAACAATGGTGATGAACCTATGGACACTAGATTCACTGGAGACTCATTCATTTTTCCTGGCCATTGGCCATGCTGGTTGAGGCTGACATGGTTGGCATCTATCACAGAGGCCCACAGGTTCCCATGTCTAATTTAATACCAAACACTGACTGTATGGACACGCAAAAGATTCCAACAGTTTACAGATCCTGCCTACGCACGAAACAATACATGTGAATTATGTGCTTTTTCAACATTATGCACCTCACATGGAACATCAACTACTGCTGTAAAGTTGAAACCTGTTCCCATGAAAGACAGCTTTAGAGGAGTCAACGCTATGGATGGGTCATCCCCAGAAAGAAGCCACATGGTTTTGGAAACCATATTCCAAGTTCCATTGCAATGGCCCTACTGTTGAATGAAAAGATGAAAAGCCAAGCTAATCTAAGAGCATTCCAGAAAGCGGCCAGATCCTGATAAAATAACCCAACAGGGAAATAAAGGATTTCATAAAATAAATACTTATAAAGAGCCAGCGTAGCATAGTGGTTTGATTGCTGGCCTACAACTCTGGAGACCGGGGTTTGATTCCCAGCTTGGCCATGAAACTCACTGGGTGACCTTGGGCAGGTCACACTCTCTCAGCCTTGGGGAAGACAATGGCAAAACTCCCCTTGCCAAGAAAACCCTATAATATGGCCGCCATAAGTTGGAAACAACTTGAAGGCACACAACAACCAGAAGAAACACTTTATGGAAGCGCTGCAGCTGTTATCAGAAAAAAAGCAATGCACATTTAGAAACCAGGAGAGATTTTAACACTCTTTCCTTCTGAATACTTCCTATTCTTTTCCTTCCCATGTGGCAAGAAGCATGAGAAGCCACAGCGATGAAGTGCGCAGTGCCCCACCAAGAAAGTGATTCAATCGCTCCATCATGTCAAAACACAGAGAAAAAGAGATAGATAAGCCGAAGAACAGGGCAATGACAAGCCAGCAATAGAAGACAGCAGACCTACAGCCTTAAAAGAATTGGTCCCTCTCGCACACCTGCCATAGGACATTCCTGCCCCTTGCCTCGATGGAGAGACTCCACAGCTGTTCCATTTGTCAGGGAACGAATGACACCTAAAGAGAGCCAGACAACCAGCAGCTTTGCATACCACAAGAGGGTCAACGGACAGGCAAAGGGATCTATCAGTCCAAGACATCACCTCAGAATCACACAAAAAAAGCCAATGGGACGCTTAGTGATACTGCGTCAGCACTTAGGAATATTACTGCAATTGTACTACAACTCCCAGAATCTCCCAGCTAGCCAGGGGCCATTCTGGATGGGAAATGTTGGGAATTT